GGGGGGAGAGAGGGAGTGACATGCAGCAAGGGGCCAGCTGTGGCAATGGCCTTGTACATGGGGCGCCTGCTCTACCACTAAGCCACCGACGCCCCCCCTCACCTTCTCTTGTTTCCCACCGTTTCTCCACTATAATGCCTTTTCCCTTTCTCAGTCACAGTCCCCCCACCTCCCCGTCTCTGTCACTCTTGAATCAGTCCTCTTTCATTCAAAAAAACAAACAATACACATCGGTAAATTGGTGAGAGCCCGACCCAATTTAAGCCTGTAGGGATATTGGAAATCAGACAATCAGGCTCAGACTAAGAATCAGAGCTCTAATCAAGAGCCAGTGGTTGATTTGTCTGCTCTGGGCTACTATAGAAGAACATGGCGGACTCTGTAGAGGAGGACCTGCTCTATAATTAGATACAAATGGCTTATTCTAAGGTAATGAAAACATAATGATTCTTATTTTCAGGTGATTATAAACTGATGAAAACATAGTTATTAATACTATATACTGTTTCTGCCAATATATGCCCCTAAATCTTACATACTGGACCTTTAAAGTTGATTTCTGTATCACAACCATCACACTAGTAAACCTATCTTACATCCAACTAAATCTGACTAAAATGTGTAGAATAATGTCAATGACTGATTGGTACAGAGATGTAGACACTTTGCCACTTTATGTAATGTCACCTTAATCCATATTTGCTAAATATGCAGTTTTGTAGGTTGGCTAAAATGCTTAAATATTTTTTAAAAAATGTATTACACACCTGCTTTCTTATCATTCTGCCGCTGCAGTGCAAGTCAGCTATGCACCACTTGAGGGATAAAAATAAATCCCCCACCGAGAAATCTTAGGTCCATTTTGTATTTATTTTCGTTCATGGACACTTAAACGCATCACATTCAAATCTCGGAGTACCTTGAACGCGGCAGCAGCATCTCATACACCTGCTAATGCTACTCAACCGTCTGGTTTTACGAGTCCCGGTCCCGTTAGGTGAAGGACAGGAAAACATTTGGATAGAGAAATGAATTGACTAACTTGCTAACAAACAGACAACTAACTAAATATCATTAGACTCGATTTTAGGGCGGTTTTCTACGGATTTCAGCACTCACTCGACAGGATGTGACGTCCCACCTCCACCTCTTGTCCATCACAGCTCAGTGGGCTCTGTGTAATTTAACCAACACGGTGGCCTGTCAACGCGAAAAAGACAGACAGCATAAACAGTCCACCTTTCGGACTTTTATAATAAAAATGGCCCAGCTGCGGGCCTGTTTGCAGCCTGACAACAACCGCCGTCGTCTGCTAATCGGATAGTGCGAAGGACTTTGAGTGACTGCGGGCTGGCTATGCTGGCTACCTAGCTAACGTTACGCAGCTGTCTGACACCAAAGCTAATCGGCTACCTACCGTTAGCTGTAGCGGCTCGCTTTGCCATATGATATTGACGCACATTGCACAGGGACAGACCTCTACAGAAAGCGACTGGATCACCAAAATAACCCCCGTCACGCTGAAATGGACAAAGAAGAAGCCGACCGGCTGATAGAGAAGGCGAAGCTGTGTTTACGGTCCGGGCGGAAAGATCGGGCTCTGCAGCTGCTCTATGAAGCCCAGAATATTTACCCCAGCACCCGGGCCAGAGGTAAAATTAGCTGACGCACATTCTGCAGTGGCAGTCTGATTAGCCAACACCGGTCAACTAGACAACTTACAACACTGGATTAACCGTAGACATGTATTTACAGGCCTCAGGTTAGGTGCACTGAGTTGCTATTTTTAGAAGCAGAGACAAAAATCTGCTGTCTGGCTTTAATACTTAATGTCTGTGTAGGCTGCATGCTGACATTTAGGGCTGTTAAGGGCTCTCTGTAAGGCAGTGCTGTGTTACTGTGTCTCCAGTTGCTCTACCTTGCCTTATAGCTTCTGCAGTAATGGCATCATAACAGGATAATCAAGTTGTCATAAATTACTTAGAGCTTTTTGAACACAATGTGCATGCAGTTAAATGCCGCATGGTCCATTTTACAGCAGTTTGCACATCCATTGCAAGGACTGAAAAACTTTTAATGTGCAATGCACAGTCCATATCATTCCGCTCATGTATGTGATACACCCACTACATGTCTCTAGTGTAAGGAATGACCGTAAGGGAGGTAAAGGATAAAAGTTCAGCTTTGCCCTCCTCAGGATTGACAAACGGCAGGGGGTTAAGCTCTACTGTCACACCAGTGCACACTGCATTCAATAGATCTTGCACTCTACTCATTTCCAAAGTTTCCACATGTGATTATTTCCACTGCAAATAATCAACCACAGCACATCGTAAGCCTAACCTGACCCTCTGACTGGATTCAACCTGAGTCTGCTGGCAATTAGAGGGGAAGCAGGCAGATAAAACAAACAAAAAAAATTGAAGTAAGAAAATTAGTCCACCCCAAGGGCAATACCCATATCTTTTGCTCACTACCAGCTCATTTCCCAGGGAAGACTACAAAAAGAAAAAAAGGCCTAAACAAACAAAAGCACACAATAAAAATAGTCCCACAGCAAGAGCAGCTAATAGACCACTGATGATCCTCAGAGAACCAAATGAATAATCTTAAAAACGCTTTCTTTCAAAATACTAAAATGCAGACAGATTAAATGTAAAAAAACAACATTGCTAACCTTAAAAATACCTGGTATGTCAGTCTACTTTCCTACTGACTTCCAGCCACCTTGAACCCAGCAAATAAACAGGCCTGACACATTAAAATAGTAAATGTCAGACACATTCAAACTCAACAGCACAAAACAGTACACACAGCGAACATTCTTAGGCCTACCAGTTTTTTCTGCGTTTTCCTGCCTCAGTCTTCCCAACACACCAGCACCCCAGCAGGTAGCCCTATATCTAAAAACGTCACTGATTGTTGCACCTCCATTTTTCCTCGGTGCCACCTGCCACATAGAGATGGGTGACAAGTGACAGCAAAATCCTGAATAAATCAGTGGAGAAACATGGAAAAATGCTTTAATACACAGCACAAGGAATCACTGAATGTTTTGAGTATAAAAAAAAATTATGTGAATCAAATACTACATCATTCAACTTCACCAGATGGGAGATTTTGGAAGCACCCTACACCACCGTCATCAAAACACCAGATTTCTTTGTCATTTTTATGCTCCACATAAAAATGAAGTAGTGTTTCAATAAAAGCAATAAATTGAATAAATAAGAGCAATAATAAATAAGCTAAAACTGTGAGGCTAAACGAGAATAATTAATATCAATTAATGTGAATAAAGTGCCAGTAGAAACAGTTCCATGTTCACCTGTTGTGATTTAGGAGTCTAACTGCTGTGGGAAAAACCTGTTCAACAGCTGAGTGGTCCTTGTTTTGATACACCTGTATCTTTTCCCAGACTGCATTAGTGTAAACATGCAGGAGGAGGGATGAGTGGAGTTAATCCCAAATAAGGTTGTTTTGGAAAAATAATGTTTATCCCTTCATCACAGTTTATAGATATTCTCCTTTAGAGGGTATTAAAGCTGTTATGGAGGCTTGTGGTGGCAAAATACCTTTTATACCACCTCATCTTAGATTTTGGATATTGTAATATTATATAATATTATAATATAAGTGTTGTTGCTTCCTATTTTCAAAAGCTGCATTATAGTAAAGTGATGCTGTTTTCTGAACTTCTGAAGAAGATTGTTATAACTGATTTTCTCTGTGTTGCCCAGCCCTGTCCAGGACCAATCATAGAGATATTTTTGGACACTTCTTGTTCTTGTTTAATCTCTCTCCATCGTCTTTCACTATTCACACCTTGTCAGTTGACCTCAGACCCTGTGATCTTGATTGTAGTGCTGATCGATGCCATAGTAAGGAACGGAGGCAACGCTGCTCCACAAGCAAACCACGTGCCTCCGCCATCAGGCTGGAGAGATGAGGACTTTAAACACAACGAAACGAGTCAAATGAATGGTGATGAAAAGAAGAGCTACACCGAGGAGCAACGGCAGGGTGTTCTCAGGTGCACAGTGACTCTGTTACATTTGCTTTTTTACATTGTCATGCAGACCAGAGCCTCTGTTAGTCACTGTATAACTTTGGCTGTGTT